CATATGTCGCAACACTCTAGCTTGCAGTGCAAGGTTACCTGAGGCCAGGGCTACAACCCTATTATGATGACAATGTGCTAGAATGCTAGAGGCATAATCATGTATTGATGACAATCCCACTAAAGGTTTTCCAAAATTGTTTAAAAGAAACATCAGAATAAATTTTTATTCACTTTATGACTGCATATTTGCCATCCAGCCATAAAGCTGGAAATCATACAACCACAAACGCATTAAATAGCATAAATGTCCAGAATGATTCCTCATGCGTTTAGTGCTGTGAAGTAACTGACCTTTCTCAGCTTCCTGAGGAGCTTTCCATAGCAGAAGAATATCACTCCGAGTGGGAAAATAAAACAGGTAGTGAAGAAAGTGATAATATAGCTGTGGTCTGTTATGTTGGTTGAATACCTGTTGAAAGGTAGATAAAACAAACCATCAATAATCAATATGAACAATAACCATTACTCAACTTCTTGTAAAGGTAATGCGCTTATGATTGGATCAGCTGTTACACTAGGTTATTGTCACTTTAAGACCAAAAAGACAAACAAACAATTCCCAGCTATGAGGCGATGTGAAAATCAGGACCTTTTATACGACTCAAGAGAAACGACATAGTTTGGTTCCTCATTTGAGCTTTAGTTAAATGGAAATTTCACAGCTGAGACAAACCTCGGTGAACACTTAGGGGCCTCAGGACACCTATTTAGACTAATTAAGCTGTTTCCATAAGAACATCTACAATTCTCTAATGAAACAACCTTCAGATTAATTACTGGGGAGCCACCTGGCAGATAAGGCAGAAAGACCAGGTACCTGTGTGTGGGTGTGATGTGTTTGTGGTGGTTCCTGCACATTTACGCTTAATCTGAACTGAACAAAAGAAGGGTTGTAAGGCCTAGATTTGCTTAACTAATGATATAACTGTAAGAATTCACCATGTACTAAATTGAGCTGAAAGCTCACATTTACTGTAAACAAACCACTGTAGGAGAGGTATTTAAATGCAGCGAAAAGATGCAGCTGTTGACAGTATGACAACACCTTAAACATAGCCATCTTTGACTAGCTGGGATACACAACTATTAGTTTTATTTTTCACTATTATATTTAAGTAAAACAAACATTGCTTGTTCTTTGTCCATGTGCTGCATGTAATGCTGCAAACAAAAGTACCTTTACTTTACCTACTTTTAATGCAGTAAACGGTAGGAAATAGTCTTTAGAGAAAGCAGCAATTCTTTAAAATTATTTACTTATTGAATTGTGGTTCAAATTCTTAAGAGCAAAAACTTCTTTACCATAGGTTGACATTTCCTCATAAATCATTTCGTCCAACTTTTGGATGATATTTTCAAAAGATTAGATCACAAATAGATAAAGAAGCAAGATGATACATTTTAAACATTTCATTAACTACTAATATAAGTTTAAAAGAGTATATGATTATTTGAAATTATAACTGCACTGTACTTTTAACTTCTGCTGAAGTAATATATTTTGATGTAATGCCTATCTTTAGTACAGTCTCTGGCCTCTCTACCCACCTCTGGCAGTGTGCAACCAAGAGGTGAGCCTGGTAATCCATGTGCCTGGAATCTCCAATGTGAGATCTATTAATCATCTGGAATGAACCATTTTTTCTCCCCATGTCTTGGTTTCAGAAATGATTCTCCTTCTGGGCTTAAGGTCAACACTCAGTTTTTATATCCGCACGCCTTTGATCAAAACAGCTAAACAGCCTTATCCAGATGGCTCCCTGAGGGCTGAGGTTACAGCAGACATGCTTTTTGGCCTCCTTTAGAAAAATGCACTCATGTGAGCTCATATGGCTGAGGAAACCCTGCAGACTTGAGCCTCTGGGCAGTATGTAGAATGTCTATGATCTTTATCTGTTTGTTTGTCAAGAGTATGTTGTAGAAGGTATGTTGTTTAAAAAAAAAATTGACAGATTACGCTGATGTTTCGTTTCCCCTATAAATAAACAATTGTTTATTTGTTACTATCTACGTATGAATGTAGATAATGCTGTTCATTTAAAAAAAAAATACACAAAATGAGAAACTGTTTCTTTTTGTGAGCAATCACCGGGAATATAGTATATAATATACTCTTGTATGTAAAGCTGATACAATATATAATGTGCAATAATATCACTGCCACTGCTGCAGATCTGATCTACTCTACTTCAATGCTAGTGGCGGCAGCTGCTCTCTGAAACAACAAAGGCTTAATGGTGTTAATTAAATACAAACGTCACGCATTGCATTACCAATTTTGAAACACTTATCTCTTATCCTGTACACATTGTATATGTTATGGTTCCAGTTTGTGGGGGTTGTTTTTTTTCTCTTTCAGTTTTTCCTTGTATCCACCAGATGGAGCCATTGGTTCTCTGTTGGCCTGGAGGGCCTCTTCCTTCTCTCAACTACTCACACCTGCAGCTCGTTGGTCATCACCGTCTGAGGGGTATATGAGCAGCAGACTGTCATCATCTCCTCGCCAGAGTGTTTGACAGTATTGGGTACTCTAGCCCCTCTGAGTTTTGCTGAGTCAATACTTTGAGTTTTTGTTTTTCTAAGAACTCAAGTTCTTACCCAGTTTTTCTCTTGTGAATCTTTGGCACAATTTCTACAGATCCACTAGATAAAGCTGGTCCTTCAAGCCTTGGAAGGAATCCTCTCCTCTCGCTGAGAAAGAAACGTTTCACTTTATTAGAATGCCACCCTTTTCAGGAAAACTAGTGACAGTCTGCTCCGCTGCTCCTCAGGACCACCATAAGTCTGCCTGTCCGCCCTCCAGCTAAGAAATCTCCAAAACAGTTCAAGCTTCCGCAAACAGGAACCCTGGAGCAACCTCAAAACCACAACAATGAGTCCAAGCCAGTTTATATTAAAGTCATTGGCTTGTTTTCCCACCGACCTTGAACTCACCATTTGTTATCTCTTCCTAGAGCTTCCGCTTCCGGGTTACCAGACTGCTCGATCCCCTCCAAGCTGAGAAACCAGTTGTTTTGTCACTTTGTTCAAATAAACTGTGAATCTTCTTTCTGACTCTGAGTGTTTCTGCATGTGGGCAAAACATATAAGACCCACCGTGACAGTATATTGAAAATAGTTGGTATTTAACCTAAATATTGCTTTGATTCAATAAATTGGGATTTTATGTGGTAGACGCATTCCTCATCACAGATTGCAACTGTTTATATTTGAGGACAGGAAAGAAAGACATGAAGTTTCAATTTTTTGTAAATATATACAAAAATAAAATGAAAAGTGTGGTGGTATTTGTGACTCTGATATCCATAAAAATCTAAAATGTAACTAAGTAAAGGTCTGCACAGCTGGTAGAGACACACACCAGAAGATTTTCAGCTAAGATTGCAGCGAAGTTGGATTTACAGATTACTGCTGATGAAGTCAGATACGTGCAACACTTCAGATCTCTACAAGCTTAAAAATTCTGAAAGCCCATTAATCCTTTTTCTACCACTTCACAATCTCCCACTATGGTCTTTTGCACAAAATCCAGTTTAAATACAATAAAGTTGGTCATTGGGACAAAGAAAAAAGTTGAGGGTTTGAATATAAGTGTATGATAATACATTAATGGATTTAGTCATAAAAAAATATGTTTTTTCGTTTGTGTGAATAATGACTAAAGGGCAAACACAGCCAGCATGGCAAGCAATTATATTTAAGGCTTTTGTTTAGCTCAGATTTGCAAAAAAAAAAAAAAAACGTAATCTCAATATGATAACTTTGATTTAACACTAGACGCACTAAAAACTGGTATTTTTATAGAGTTTTATCAAACCTTTGACAAGAAAGGCAAATTGGAATTTTATCCTCATGGGTTTTGTATAACTTTATGAGGGGAATGTAATGCTTGTTTGCCTTTGTTTTTGACAATAAAAAGAACCACCAACTTTTCTTTTAGAGATGTACAAAGTCACACTTTTTAGTAGGAATACCATAAAAAGTTTGAAATGCATAGCAGATCCAGAATATACCACAGACAGATTATTTGCAGAGATATTGGACCTTCTTCCATTTACCATTTGGCAGGTAATATCGCCAGGTTTCATTGTAAGAGAAAATTTTCTACTTAAATCAAGTAAGTATAAAACTGATGGGTTTTACAGAAGCATTTCTCAGCTTCCTGATGCAGTGGTCTTGTGAAACTGCCCTGAAATATATTTTGCTCACATGCAAGAGATTAGCCGAGATGAAACACAAACTGTTAGACCTGCAAACTAAAAAATCATGGCTTTCTAATGACTCAGTGCTGCATTTGATGATACTTAATTCAAAATATATACATATATAATATGTAAACCTTTGAGAGATAGAACAGATTGTTGTCGACTGATAACAGGTTAATAAAACCATAATTTAAGTATTTTAAAATCTTGATTATATCAGATAAAACAGAAAAATACAAGTGTTAAAGTTTTAAGTACAACCAAGACTCATTGATCTGTCAAAACTACAATAAATAGAGGGATTAAGCCTAGACTACATTATTTTGCATCGAATCATGTTTGTGAATTTCTTACTAAACTTTTTTTTTTTAAATCAAAGAAAGAATTGAAAAATATTCATTCTATGTGGCATTAGAAAATTATGAATTTGCAATCATGTTACTTTCAACTCTCTGTGTTATCGGTAACAACTAGGGCTTTATTATCTATCTCAGGTTTGGTGATGTACTGCACCCTTTCTAAATATATTACGGCAAAGAAAACTCGGATATCCAAATACATTGGACTTTATATCTAATGGTATTTTGAACAGTCCTTTTCAATATTGATAATGCACACACCTCTATTTTGTTACAATACAACTGAATTTTAATTAGAATTAAATTTGATAAATAAACTGGAAGACAGAGCGGTAAAGAGGAAGGAAAATGTATGAGGTTTATAATTTATTTTACAACTAAAGATCTAAAAATAAGATAGGCATTTAAGTTCAGGGTGTTTTTCCTTCCCTAAAGAAAATTGATTTCTGTTAGAAATCACAGTTAGTAGTTAACCTTTGTGGATTTCAAGTTCAGTTTAAAGCAAAATGTTTTCTGAAGGCCTCTAAGGTTTGTTGTCAGTAGACGCACAGCATTACAAAGACCAAAGAACTCAGAGAGGTCAGGAAGAAAATTCAAGCAGTGAAGCTTTCAAACAGCATTCTAGGCTCTTAACATCCTATGGAGCACGCCAACTCAATCATATCAAAATGAAAAGAGTATGGCACAACTCCAAAGCTACTAATACCTTTTCAAGTTTAGAGTGACTTTGTAACAAGAATTGGCCAAAAAGAAAAAACAAATGTTGCAGCCATTATCTTAGAAAATGGAATGATCCATTCTAGTAGGATGGATTGAAAGAATGCATGTCACAGCTTTCAGATTTCTAATTGTACATTCTGAGAATATATTAGATGAAAAAACTAATCATCTGTTACAATGGTAACAGAAGGTTTACTGATCTTTACTGTATGGCTGTAGTCAAGTCTAGTGTGTTATTTTGGACCTAGAGAATAATTACAATGATGTGTATACATATACAGCATTCAACCCTTTGTCATCATCTGGCCTGTTTGCTCTCCCTTAATTGGTCATTTCTTTCACCTGCCGTTTTCCCTCCCTGCCTCAATTATAATTTATTCCTCTCACCTGTTTCTCCTGGGTTATATTCAGTTCAGCCTGAGCATTTCTGTAACAATCTTGGTTCTGTTGTTTTCTCTAAGTTTTCAGTTTCAAGTTCATCCAGATTTTTCCTTGTTTTCCAGCTTAATTGGTGTGTCTGGATTCATTCTGTCAAGAATTGGTTTTAAGGTTTTTGTGAGGACCCAAAAGCAGAAGCTGAGAGGGAGAGGTGAGATCTTTGAATATGGAAGTAAATATGTGCCATCAGAATTTGAATAAAAAATACCTCTGAAATTTGAATGTTGTATATTAGTGCTTACTTTTTCAGTATTAAAATAAATTCAGAATATATTTTTAACCTAAAAAAATTCAATGTCATTATTTGTACATTACAAAAAAAAATCAGTGTAATTTTTTTTACATGGTTGCAATTTTCAGTTATTAAAAAAAATTCACATTCCTATTTCAAAGTGATAAAATTTTCAATATACATATTTTTCACAGTTTCAATTTTCAGTGTTAAAAAATTCAGCATATAAAAAATTCAACTTTTCAAAATTCAAATGCAATATTTTTGTTGTCCTCCAATTCAACTTGCTCAAATTCACTGTCTCAAATTCAGCGTCTAAAAATTCGCTGTAAAAATGGCCAAGGTTACTTCAGGTCACAGACATTAGCAATGGATGTCCGATTCCAACATCCACCTAATCACGTGACACAACCGTCATATTGAAGAAGTACCAGTATCACCCAGGCTGGCGACCATGGAGGCGAACTCAAACCCAACGGTGAGTTTAATGCTTTCATATTTCTGTAGTATATTTTATTTTGCGCATGAAGTTTGATACATTATCTTAAAGCCTGATTTAAAACACTGGTTTGGGCCGTTGTTAATCTTACACCGTGTAGTGCCGGCATATTACTTCTCGCTACCTCCGAGCACCCCCCCCCTCCCCCTCACCCAATTTCCCCCGTTTTATTTCAAAAAGAAATACCACTTGCGCCAAGTCTAGAATCTTTAAAGAGAACTGATGGGTGGTGACTTTCTGGGTTGTTTGTATGTTGTCTTAGGTGAGACTGAGACAGGCAGTCGATGACTACTGTGCTCTTCTCCCATTAAAATTGTAGAAACTATATCAAGCACAAATAAAGGCTCGGAGGTAGCGAGAAGTAATATGCCGGCACTACACGGTGTAAGATTTACAACGGCCCAAACCAGTGTTTTAAAATCAGGCTTTAAGATAATGTATCAAACTTCATGCGCAAAATAAAATATACTACAGAAATATGAAAGCATTAAACTCACCGTTGGGTTTGAGTTCGCCTCCATGGTCGCCAGCCTGGGTGATACTGGTACTTCTTCAATATGACGGTTGTGTCATGTGATTAGGTGGATGTTGGAATCGGACATCCATTGCTAATGTCTGTGACCTGAAGTAACCTTGGCCATTTTTACAGCGAATTTTTAGACGCTGAATTTGAGACAGTGAATTTGAGCAAGTTGAATTGGAGGACAACGAAAATATTGCATTTGAATTTTGAAATGTTGAATTTTTGATATGCTGAATTTTTTAACACTGAAAATTTAAACTGTGAAAAATATGTATATTGAAAATTTTATCACTTTGAAATAGGAATGTGAATTTTTTTAATAACTGAAAATTGCAACCATGTAAAAAAAATTACACTGAATTTTTTTTTTAATGTACAAATAATGACATTCAAATTTCAGAGGTTTTTTTTATTCAAATTCTGATGGCACATATTTACTTCCATATTTGAAGGTTTAATTAAGGATGACAGGAAGCCAAACAGTAATCCAAAAATCCAACTTAAAAATGTAAATCAAAACAGGAATCCAAAAAACCAACATAAGAATTTAACACAAACCAGGACCATGGAGACATCAGGGGAAACAGTCATGAGGAGCCAGGGTAGGATGAAGTAAGGCGAGAAACCAGCACAGAGGGACTGCAGAGGGAGTGTATTTATGGCTGACTGAACAAAGGCAGGACTAACGAGCTGATAAGGAGCAGGT